GGAATCGCATTTGTCTGTAGAGGATGCTTGGTTCAATTAAACTCTATGATGGATTTTGGACTGAAACCACGACGACAAGAAAGGTGAAATCTGGCGTCATTCTCGACATGCTTAATGCTTCATGAAAGCATTCCTGATGTCGAAAAAATTTGGTCTAAGGAAAAATGATGGAGACATTTCATTCCATAATCGTGGTTCTCTTGACAACAAGTCGAATTTGTAAGAGACAAAACCCAAAGCAATAATATTAGAAAATGAGAGCGGAGATAATTTTCGATTAATTTTGGTTGGACTTGGCCTGGAAGACGATTTGAGTCTGGGAAGTGACGATTAAGTGAATTTTATTACATTTTGTTAGTGCATTAATTTATTCACTGATCACATTTTTTTCTAGATGACTGGTTTTAATGAGTAGATAGAGTTTAAGTTCTTCAAAATAAATGCTTATTTCCATCCGTATTGTATTTGATTGGGCTGTGCGATTATATGCATTAAGAATTTTATTTTTGTAAAATCTGGATTAAGGCTTAGACAAAATGAAATTCAATTTTTAAAAAATTAACGTCTCTTCCTTGCAGCTACTCTACTATTTATAAGCTTTCAAGGATTTGTATTGTTTATAAACTGTTTACTTTTTGATGGGTACAGTCTAATGCTGAAAAATCTACTGCTATCCTGTTATAAGTAGTACGCTTTTTGGGGTAGTCGAGTTGAAAGGGACTGAAAACAGTTTTGCCGGCTGAATAAATTCATCCATCTCTCAATCCTCATGACACATCCGACTTATTTTCGTCAAGCTCGGTCTTAATCAACTTACGTCTTATTGCCTATTTGACATTATATATATATATATAATGTCATATTTCTAATATATATATATTTATTTATATATGAACCTAATTAATTTCTGTTGCTGATCGTGAAGTTCAAAAAATCATGAATTCAGTAACTGGGCCGTGATAAAACCGTATGAAAGCTTTCCCGCAAGAGCAGGTTTGTTGATGCAAAATTGCATTTCCTTAAACTAACAAGTTCATTCGCTCGGAACTTGCACCTTTTATCCTTTCGAGCGATTGTCCGACGTTATGATTACATTTAGAATAGCTGCCCAGTGCGGCAAGTTTCAGTTACCCACGACTGGATTGTGAAGAGGGAAAGTAGAAAAAAGAATTTAATCTCCAAATTGCTTCATGTTCTAAAGTCAAGCTATTAATATGCCAGAGGGGAGAACGTTCCGGCAAACTCGTTGGATGAGTGAAACTGGGATTTTCCATTGGTTAGATTGCGTTTCTAATTGGACCGAAAAGCAGAGACTTCCTAGAGCGAAAACCAATGAGCACAGTTTACATCTTACTTTCAGAAAGCTTGTTCATCTTAAGGCTCCCTAACCATCATATGGTACTTTGAACAATCGACATCAAAAGTTTTGCATTTGTTTATGTGTCTAAGAAATTATTCTGCTTTTCCTAATTGGCAATAAAATGCTATTTCAATACATGTTTTCGTATGACCAACTTGTAAAAATCGCATGTTTTGTGCTTATTGCGAGCCAGTGAACAATTATCTTCGAGAGGCAACGTCATACAGACCCGTCTCGATCTTGCTTTGGCGACAGTTTTGATGAAAAATTTTCGTGTAGAACCACCTGAAACTCGGACAAAACAATTTCTGACGGCACAGAAACTTGTTTGTCACACTCGGGTCGGGCCTTATTCGCCACCTCGATACCGCCTATCTGGCGGTTGTTTCAACGAAATGAGACATTCCCGGCCATTAATGAAACATTTTGCTAAATAAGTTGACGAAAAAGTGTCATTCATTTTTACTGCTCAACCCCGCTGCAGGTGATATCATCACGCCCATAACATGCACACATTAAGTCAAACTGTTCTCCCATTTGAGCCGCTGTTCATAGTTTTTCGGTTCTTTGCGTTGTGAAATGCTGAAACAAATGTCCGGTAGATAAAAAGCTAAACTGCTTCTTGATAATCGGATAGGACATAAGTGCTGAATTGACCTTAACTTTGCTAAAAAGTGTGAAGAATTGAGATAAATTGAGGTCTCCTTTTAAATTGAAATTTTGCCAAATGCCTATATTTCCTTTTATCTTGTGTTTAAGTCGTGCATGGCATACAGAAAAAATGGATATTGGGCTGAATTTCGCCCATAAAATAAAATAAATATAGAATATTGTTGCAAGCAAAATTGATTTGCAAAGAGCCAAACGCATACCATCGTTGGATTACACGAAAAAGGGTGGTTTAGATCTAGACTTTTGTAACTAGAACGCGTACGGCCGAATCCCCAAGCTTTGGGACATAAGTCTGTCATGCTTAAAAAGTGTCGAATTCGTTGGTTTGAGATTGCGATTTAGATACAGTATGTATCGTATTAACCCACCATTACAACTAGCCTCGATAAAAGCAACAATTGCCCAATCTGTTTGTCAGCATATTTATATTTATTCGAGTTTAAAACAGCTTTTTAGCGCCATCTCACAGCGGAGTGCAGAACTGGTAGCAAATCGGGTGAGTAGGCAATTCGAGTCGAGTTGTCTCGGCTTGTCTGCCGCACTCGTGGACGACCATCTCGCAGCTGGAACGTGTACATGTGAAATGAAAATAGCAATTACTCACTTCTTTCGGCGCGGAATGTTCAACGTTGTAGCAAAATAGGCATCAAATGTACACATCTTCACGAGAGCATGAGCAACAACGCTCCCGAATAAGGCTATGCGACCCGATTGTAGTAGAAAATCTGAGAAAAAGCCCATTCAAGTGATGCACTTTGAGTGAGAGTTAATAAATTTCTGTACCAAGTGGGCCGAGTATGTTGAGCTGGAAGAGTGGAGGAGAGTTGTTGCTGGGCCAAATGTGACGAAACGGTACACAATTGAGTTGCTGGGCAACACTTTTTCCCCACTCGGCAAAGGTGTACAGGGTGGGGTCAGAAGCGAGGTTTCCTGCTGGTATGATAGCGGCCGAAGAGGATCTTGCGGAAGGCGTTTCTGAAGTCGGGCGCAAAGATGGTGTAGATGATGGGGTTCAAGAGGGAGTTGAGGTAGCCCAGCCAGAGCAGGAGGCTGTCGATGAGCGGATGTGTGGAGCAGGCGTCCTGGCAAAAGGGCAGAATGAGCGCGTGGATGGAGAACGGCAACCAGCAGAGCAGGAAGCAGCCGGTGATGATGGCGAGGGTTCGAGCCGCCTTCTTCTCGCGCTTCTGCTCGAGTCGGTCGCGATGCTGCTCGGCCTCGTGTCGCGGATGCAGGCCCGCGTTGCTCGGCAGCGTCGCCAGTCTCGGCGCCGTGTTGTCGGCCGCCACCGGCCTCGCCCGAGGGCGAGGGCGAGGGCGAGGGCGAGTCGCCGTTGGCGACGGCGTCAGGACAGACTCGCCGTCCGGTTGGCAGTTGCAGACCCACGGATTCGCATCCACCGAGTCGGCGTCCGGCCAGTCGTCGCCGAGGCCAACGTCAACATCTACGTCTACGTCGCCGTTGACGTTGACGTTGACGTTGACGTCGACGTCGACGTCGAGGTCCGGAGCGCGTGTTCTCGCCTCTTCGGCGCCGAGGAGCGGGACTCGTGGCGACTGGGGATAGGCCAATGGGGCGCAGACTTGCGTCGACCGGCCGTCGCCGGGACTGGCCGAGCCGGAGACCGTACGTCGACTCGTCTCCACGGAGCCCGAGGTCATGGTCTCCTCGCCCTCGGTCGGCATTTGCGGACTCTGCATGGCCGCGTCGGCGCCGGCGACGACGGGACCGACCGACAGTTGGTCGTAACACGCCGCGCGGCCGGCCGACGCGGAGCAACAGGAAGATGAGCAAGGCGACGAGGGCGAGGAGGAGGAGGAGAGGGGCAAATGGTACCGGTTGGGGAGGGGGGTGGAGGCCGCGGGCGCCACTTCGGTCGAGCCTATTTCGGCGCAGAGAAGGTCCGACCTGCTCGAGGGCGAGGGCGACGATGTCGACGTCGACTTTGACATCGACGTCGACTCTGAGGACAGGTAGGGAGGGTAGAAGTACTGGCGCCGCAGTCGACGTTCTGC